AGTACCTGGAACCACGGGTGTTCCACCACACCTGGCTAATTTTTTGATTTATTGTAGATGAGGTCTTGCCAAGTTGCCCGGGCTGGTCTTGAACCTCGGGACTCAAGCTATCCTTTCACCTCCACCTTCCAAAGTGAGCCACCGCGCCCGGCATGAGCCACCGTGAGTTGGAGTCTTACTCCGTCTCCCAGACTGGAGTGCAGTGGCACGCTCCTGGCCACTGGAGCCTCGACCTGCTGGGCTTCGGCAAGCCTTCCAAGTAGCTGGAACTACAGGTATGCACTACCACGCCCAGCTAATTTTTTTGATTTTATTGTAGAGACAAGGTCTCACCAAGTTGCCTGGGCAGGTCTCGAACCCGCAGGCTCAGGCAATCCACTTGCCTCAGCCTCCCAAAGTGCTGGAATTACAGGCTGAGTCACTGAGCCCAGCCTATTTTTAAAGGGAATCAGACTGCAGTTCCCTCTGCTTAAACCCTCCCGCGGCTCCCAGTGTCTTTTCAAAGGCCTCCAGAGCTCCATGGTGGGAACCTCCTTGCCTTTCTGACCCCATCAGCCCTGGCCTCCCCTCACTCACTCCACTCCGGCCACGCTGGCCTCCTTCGGCCGCCCATTGGTCGGGCCTCAGCTTGGAGCCTTCGCATAAACTGCTCTCCTGTCTGAACAATTTGCCCTCTACACAGTCCCGGGGTGTGCTCTGGGCCACCCTGCTCGGCACAGCCGCTGACCACCCCACCCTCATCCTCCTCACTCACTCTCCCAGGACTCCTTCCCTGGCTTCTTCACCCTCTAACTGGTGCTGTAATGTATTTGTTATGCTAATTATTTCCTGCATATTTCTTTCTACCAGTATGCAAGTGCCACTTCTTCTTTTTTTTTTTTTTAATTAAACAGGAAGCAAGATTTATTGATATGGGAACCAAGAGCCAGCAGAGTGAAAGTCTTCATGAATGCAGGGCCCGCTGCTTGTCCAGGAGGCCACGATTGGGGATGTATTTGACCCACAGTCATCTGGGATGAGCCGCTTCTCAGCCACCATGTCTTCAAATTCATCTGCGTTAAACTTGGTAAAGCCCCACTTCTTTGAGATATGGATCTTCTGGCAGCCAGGAAACTTGAACTTGGCCCTGAGTAGAGCCTCAATCACATGCTCCTTGTTCTGCAGCTTGGTGCGGATTGACGTGATGACTTGGCCAATGTGCACCCTGGCCACTGTGCCCTGGGGCTTCTCAAAGGTACCTCGCATTCCTGTCTGGAGCCTACACTGGGGATGTGGCAAGGTCAGACATGAACACACACAGGAAAGGGCTGTCTCCAAGGTCCCTTAGAGCAACCTATA